CATCTGATAAGGACGGCGGGCAGTGCAATGCCTGTGAGTGTAGCCATCGGGAGAGCTTGCGACCAAGGGAGAGAAGGGAAAGGTCACAGGAAGGTAGTGAGACATGAGGAATTCACTGTTGCAGGAAGTGGCGGCGGCTGAAAGCACAGAGGGGATTGAATGGACATGTAGAGCGGAGGTCCATCAGTGGCTCTTAACCACAAAGTATGGATGGAAGACTACGTCTGGGGAAGTGATGTTCTGTGTTCTTGGCGCTTGGGGGGGGCAACAGTGGGAGGGCTTCTGGAGTTCTGGCCCTGTTGGTGGACCTCCTGACGGCACCTGGGTTTTGGCCACTGTGTGACACAGAGTGATGGACTAGATGGGCCACTGACCTGATCCAGCATGGCTTCTCTTACGTTCTTATATCTGGGGCAGTAATGCTCTGCATTTTTGGTGCTTGGGGGGCAACAGTGGGAGGCCTTCTGGCATTCTGGCCCCACCGGTGGACCTCCTGATGGCACCTGGGGTTTGGCCACTGTGTGACACAGAGTGTTGGACTGGGTGGGCCATTGGCCTGATCCAACATGGCTTCTCTTATGTTCTTATGTCTGTGGCAGTGATGGTCTGTGTTATTGGTGATTGGGGGGCAACAGTGAGAGGTCTTCTGGAGTTCTGACTCCACTGGTGGACCTCCAGGTGGCACTTGAGTTTTGGCCACTGTGTGGCACAGAGTGTTGGACTGGGTGGGCCATTGGCCTAATCCAACATGGCTTCTCTTCTTATCTCTGGGGCAGTGATGCTCTGTATTCTTGGTGCTTGGGGGGACAACAGTGGGAGGGCTTCTGGCATTCTGGCCCTACTGGTGGACCTCCTGATGGCCCCTGGATTTTGTCCACTGTGTGACACAAAGTGTTGGACTGGGTGGGCCACTGGCCTGATCCAACATGGCTTCTCTTATGCTCTTAATACCTCTTGATTGGAGGAACCAAGTTCTGGCAAGCTTCAGCCCCAAGACCTGGCACCCAGCTTGGCTAAGGCCCTAGGAGTCCATGTGTTAATGACTCTTTGGGTGAAGAAGGACTTCCTTTCAGCTGTTCTGAGCCTACTGCTCATTCATTTAAATTGAGTGCCCACGAGTTCTTGTCTTGTGAGAAGGGAGGAAAGTACTTCTTTCCCTGCCTTCTCTATCCCATGCATAATCTTGTAAGCCTCGATCATGTCACCCTTCAGTCGTCATTTCTCCAAGCTAAAGAGCCCCAACCTCTTTACCCTTTCTTCATAGGGAAGGTGTTTAGTTGCCCTTTTCTGCACTTTTTCCAATGCTATGAAGAGTCTCCTGTCAGGCCCCACAGCAACAATGAAGTACACACTTGCAGGAAGGTTTTACTTTATTTGAAGCTATAGATGCATGTACAGGAACACTGTTAGGAATGACGGGCAAACTATGTGCATGAAAGGTTATAGTACATTCGTATGAGCAACATCCAATTACTAAGGTTCCCGCGTGCGCCTTGCGGCCTGAGAACCAACTGTTACCAAAAGCAAAACAGGTACGAGCTTCTCACGACTCATCCCTACTACAGACAAAGCAATAACTCGAGCGACTCCTCCAGCGGCCTTGAGAGATAGGTGTTGCAGCTGAAGCGGCAATTAAGCGAAGGGGAAAGCATGCGCATGGGAAAGGATACAAAATGAAACTTGGCAGCTTGCTGACATCTCCTTAGATTGGAGGAAGACTTCAAACTTGAGCCCAAAGGAAAGGTAGGGTATAAATATTTTAATAAGAAAATAAACGCTGCTCAGTGGAATCATAAGACAGGGGTAGGATCCACCCCACGGAGAAGCCCTGCTACCTGAAAAACCAGATAAAAGCAGGAAGTCAGCACAATCATAGCCCCTGGTTGGTTTACAGGCTGTTTGCGCAACCACTGATTGGCTGTCCTGGATTCGAGTTTGCTTCCGGTGAACTAACCATGCAAGAGCTTTTCCTCCCTTACAGAAAGATCACTGTCTGATAAGCCACCTTCCAGAAAACAAGAACCGGATCTACCCAGCCTTAGGGCTTTTCTGCTTCAGGGGTTTTTCCCCCTGTTCCACACGTGTTATGCTCCCTCTAGTGGCTGATTCGATATTACATCGCTTTATGTCAGGCATATCTCCCTGCAGATTTCAACTGAAGGTTTTTATGCTGGACATAACGCGATGTAATATTGAATCAACCACTAGAGGGAGCAAAATGTGTGCAGAACAGGGGGGGAAAACACCCTGAAGTAATAGGAACGCGCAAGCAAGGAAAATAAGAATGCAGAAAAGCCTTAATCTCCACTTCTGACTCTGTTCCCTGCAAACAAACTTGAGATTGATCAAAGAACAAAAAAGTGGGGCAACCGTGTTCTCTAGACCAGCCCTCAGAGGAATCAAACGCGGCAGGCTAGTTCAGGAACACCTTTCCATTAAATGCCCTTTCATATCTGCACTGCTATTTCTAACGGGGAAAAAATTAGTCTGGAAGACAAAAAAAAAGACATTACAAATAACTAAGCAAATCTATTTACAGCTAGTAATTGGTTGCACCAATGTCCACACAGACTTGCCTATGGAGTTTTCAAATCAGTATTTAGTTATCTGACATCTGTAAGTGATTTGCTTTCAAAAAGCATTGCAGGTGTTCGTGCCGGAAGGGTTGGGATGTGTGTCTTTTGGGATGCCTCCGTCTTCTAATTAGATTATTGTTGTAATTACTTTCTTCCCAAAGATTCTCAAGAATTTGTTCTAAATGCCATAACTCCTGCAAGACGAGTCTTTGCTAGATACTGGTAAAGGGACATAACTCCAAATAAAGAGGAGTGGTTGAAGAAACTAAAGGAATGCGTACAGCTGAGTAAACTAAACCTGTATGTGGCATGGTAAAAATGTAGCTTAAGTTTGATTAAAAAATGGAATGGTATTCTGACTAGCACTGAACTTAATAACGTCCATATGATTTGTTCTTAGAATTGTAGATGAATTTATATAGCTTCGTATCTGACTTTCTTTTTACTGAACAAATGCTTTATTAAAAATAGATCATTGTAGTCATGGAAATCCTGCTTATACTTTAAAGATGTTGTTTATAGTTTCAAATATTGCATCTTATTCGGGTATGGAATATTGATTGACAACCGCATATTGTTGTCCGGGGAGGGGGGTAAGTCAAATCCCTTTAATGAACACCACATTTGTGGGGAGGGGGGAGTTCCACGAAATTCATCATGACTGCATTCGATTCCTGACCTTTTCGAATATCCTTTCGGCTCTTAATTCCTGCTTACCCGATCCACACAGGAAGCTCATTCTGAACGTGGTAACGGATGGAAAGAATTAGGAAGGTGGCAGAAAGTCTGGTCACCACTAACCTTTTAGATAAATACATTTAAAATTACACAATTTTTTTTTTTAAAAAGATATTCAGGGTTGAGGAAACAGGAACTATTGCACAGGGCCCAAACCACTCTCCATTTTAACACATTTTTACTCTAAAAGCATATTTGCAATACTTGACTAATTGGGAAAAGGCTTTAGCACATATCATCATTTTCTGGCAAGGGTCAGGCAATTTGGGGGGGGGGGTGTTTCTAACACTTATCCCGGAGAATCAGTGTGCTACAGACTGCTGAATTATGCCCGGGGAGACCTGAGTTGGGAACGATACCACTGTGTATAGTATGTAGTATCCAGGGGTCATTTCCTGCAGGAGTGCACAGGAGTGGAGCTCCGGCAGTAAGAAGCTCAGGGGGCGGGCACATCCAACAAGCCCCACCCCCTGCTCCCAGCAGCCCTCAGTCAGGCCACGAGGAGAAAGAAGCAGCCAGGTAAGTTGCAGAGGCCCCCCCGGGCCCACCTTCAGGTACAAGCTCTCCCTCCTCTGTGAGGGGAGATGTGTGCATCCCCCCCAGCTAGCAATCCAAAACAGTCCAGTGGCACCTTTAAGACCAAGTTTTATTCAGGTACAAGCTCTCCCTCCTCTGTGAGGATAGATCTGCGCGGTACCCCCTGTCCCCATAGCTAGCAATCCAAAACAGTCCAGCGGCACCTTTAAGACCAAGTTTTATTCAGGTACAAGCTCTCCCTCCTCTGCGAGGACAGATCTGCACATTTCCCCCCCCCCCCCAATAGCTAGGAATCCAAAACAGTCCAGTGGAGCCTGAGCGGTGGGTGTTGCCTTCTGACACACTTCCGGTGATGTCAGGGGGTGTGGCATATGCAAATGAGTTATGCTCCGGCACCTCTTTTTCTACGAAATGACCCCTGATAGTATCTGTTTGCTGTGTGTAGAGTACCACCTTGGCATGCAGAAGGTCCCCGGTTCAATCCTCGGCATCTCCAGATCAAAGGACCAGGCAGTAGTTGATGCGAAAGACCCCCGCCTGAGACCCTGGAGAGCCACTGATAATCTGGGCAGACAGTACGGACTATGATGGACCAAGGGCCAGATTCCGTCTATGGCAGCTTCAGGTGTTCATGTGTATTCTTGATGCTTTGTGGTTATACTTATGTAGCATCATTTTCTTTTTTGGGGGGGGGATATTTTGGTATTTTTTCATATGTGCATGAGCGTGTGTGTGTGTGTGTGCGCGCGCGCGCGCATGCGTGTGAGTGTGTCTGCACCTGGAAGTCACAGCGCCCTCTGGTGACTGACCCCTACTGGGGGCCAGGAGGATACTCAGAGAGGTGGCTGAATAGAGCCTGCCCCCGCCTCTGGTACTCCTTGAGAGGTCTCCCACCCAAGTACTTGCCAGAGACGACACGTGTGCACACTTCTTAGTGTTCCGCCTTCCTGGTACTGCATTTTCTCTGCACTCACGTAAGGCTGTCTCAGCACTAGGCAAATGCAATTCTGTTCACAGTTACTGCCCCATGATCGTCCCTGAGGATCGGAGAGTTAGATTTGCTGCACCTGTCCACCTGAGACAGTTTTAACCTTTTTTTTTTTTTTAATCTGCACCACAAGCTCAACGACCATCACAGGCGCGACATACCTGACAAGATGAGAAGCTCGATGATCTCTGCGTCCCCCAGGAAAGCCGCAACGTGGAGCGGGGTCCGCTTCTCGGTATCCTGGGGGAGGAAACAGAGCAGATGTCAGAATGGGGTCGTCCCGAGAAGCTCTTACAGACTAAGCAGAGGCCTGAGGCGACCCCCACGGCTGGTCCGTCTTCTTTGCTCCTGGGCATTTCTTTCAGTGCAGGGCGACCACCAGGGACACCCCATGGGGCCGTCAATGCCAGAATGCGTCTTGCTCCACCCGGGGATGGCACAATGATTCTTGTGCCCGAGGCAAAACCCGCGGACGGGGCCTCAGAATCACTCAGACACCACGGGGGACCCCACCACCACCCTACAGCCGATGGCCCTGTGCCCGACAGGCTGGCTCACTCCCAGAAGGCAATTTACTACAACCCCAACACAAAGGATCCCTAAAAGTGAGGACGATCGGGAGAGCAAGGGAGCAGCGAAGGAGAACCAGGGATCTCGGGAGTCATGAGAAAGAAGCCAAAGAGGAGAAGAAGGATGCCGAGGCTTCAGAGAGCAAGTGCAAGGAGCTCGCAATGACCTCCACCAAAGACCCATCGAACGAATCTTCACGTCAAACTGAGGAGGCAAAGGAAGGAGACGAGGAGGCGGTCCCGACAGACAGGAGGCAGAACATCATAGATCACTGGCCCTCTTGCTTTAAGCTGGGGAACGGAAGAGACACACAGCCGGGGAGGATGGAATCGAGTGAAACAAGTACTGGGGAACAGCTGTGAAGTAACACCGTCCCAGGGGTTTTCACTCTGATAAATAGGGAAGAGTACCCGGGGCTGGGGGGCTCTTGCCTATGTTCTGAGGCTAGTGAAGTGTCGGACTTCCTTCCGAGCAACCTACGTTCTCCAGCAGACCGAGTAACTCCCCTAGGTAATCCCAGAAACTTGACACCCTGCCCCTGTGCTGCCCGAGTCCCAGCTAGGACAGGGATCAACCGTAGGGGTGTCATGGCCAGCGTTCCCTCTAAGCTGAGTTAGTGTGAGCCAGCTCACAGTTTTTTTTAGCCTCCAGCTCACAGATTTTTTTCCTCTTAGCTCAGGGAGGAGGGCTCCAGAGCAAACTCATTTATGCCGTAGCCAAATCGCTGGCTCACAGCTTTAATCCCAGTAACTCACAAAGTAGAATTTTTGCTCATCAGACTCCACAGCTTAGAGGGAGCCTTGGTCATGGCCCCTTACAGCTGATCCCCCCCATCCCCCCCACATGATTCTCAGGCGGTGCTGAGAGTCCCCAGTGCAGTGGCTGGGTCAGCTGACTGCAGAGCAGTGGTGGGGGTGGGGGTCCCGTCATACCCCCCAGTGCAGGGCCCAAGGCAGTTGCCCTAGATGGCCCATGGCTATGGCTGCCCCTGATTCCACCCATCACCCTGACCCATGGTAGCAACTGTCAGCCGTCCATGCTTGTAGCTGCCACCACTTCCTGTGGCAGTGAATTCCACGTGTTAGTTACTCTTTGGGTGAAGAAGGACTTTCATGTGTTCTAAGCTTACTGATCATTTTGTATTTTAGTATCATGTAGTTAGGCAAGAATTCTTTCCATACATTCTGTGTACATGTGTTCAATTACCATTCCCTGCTTCTTGGGCTGACTGTTATCTGTATGCATGGTGAGTAATTCCCTCAATGCTTTTTGGAACCCTTGGTTTTTCAGGGTACCAATTCCCTGATACAAAAAATCAGAAGCATTGTTTTGTCCACCTCACCTGTTTTTAATCAGGTTAGATAGCCTAGTTTTTCTATCTTGCTGGAGGCTTGACGAAGCTCAAATTTATTAAATAAAAACCTACAGATGAAGTTTTAAAAATTATATTTATTATTTATTAAAACATTTATATCCTGTCGTTCAGGGCTCTTTTTGTAGAAAAAGTCCAGCAGGAACTCATTAGCATAATAGACCACACCCAACAGCAGAAACTCATCAGCATATCAGGCCACACCCCTGACAACAGAGCTCATTAGCATATTAGGCCGCACCCCCATGTTACCAGAAGTGTGGTCATCCAGCCACACCCACCTTTTGCTTCTTATTCTGTTTATCCTGTTTGTTGTCAAACCCCAGGGATTTTTTTGTAGCAGGAACTCCTTTGCATGTTAGGCCACACACCTCTAATGTAGCCGATCCTAATGAGTTTCTGCTGTTGGGTGTGGCCTATTATGCTAATGAGTTCCTGCTGGGTATGGCCAACTCGGGAGCCAGCCGGAACTGTGCGTTCCTGCTCAAAAATAGGCCTGCTGTCATTCCTTTTGGTTCAAGGCGGCTTACGATAATATGGGAGAAATAACACCATTGCTAGCAAAACAGAACATAGGCTGTAAGAAATATGGGCAAAACATACAAGGAAACAGCACAGTGATATTTAATGTAAAGGCGACCTCTGTTCCAACTCAGCTTATGCTCTATGGATAAAGGAAGCTCTACTCACATAGCCCACCCC